CACGGTGTGGGCAGCCAGGAAGTAACAATCGTCCTCACAATCCGAAATGCACGCGAAACTCACTCACTCACGTAAATAATCTCAATTAAAAATATACCTGGGCTTTGAAGTTGCTCGTGTGTGTGCGAGGTGGACTTGATAACCACATGCATGGAAACCTGCCTCTTTTCCAATCTTAATATCCACCCTTAAACTAAGTGAGCTATGTAGTTGTAACTAACTGGTCTAGGTTCTTGAGTTTCGATCGAGCAACACCTACTGAATTTTACGTGGCCGGGTAGTATCATTTGTCCTTGTCAACTGCAAGGAATTTCAAGAGGTTGTCGAGAAGCATTCTTCTTCATTCAAACTAGACGAAGGTTTGAGAGCGTATCGGCAAAGAATCGAACCCGGAATTTTGGCATGACTAGCCAGTATTCTACCACCGACAAACATACGCACGCACACACTCACACCAAATACAGTAAATGAATACCATATATCAATCAAAAGCTAAGCCATATTCATAAAGATCACTCCATAATATATCAATCATTGAAAATGTCTTAATATATACTGTGCTGGGGAGTTCACAACCGGATGGCACAACCTGATTATTAGGCATCTGATTTGTTGATATCCCTTCATATATACATATACATGACAAGAAACGTATATAAACAATCTTAAAAATATAAATCAAACCCTCGTTTTGAGTAATGTTTACAAATTCGTAAACAAACTGTCATCGACTTGTCATTATTGTCAATTAAATATATAAGGGGACTGACTGACTGTAAAACTGACACAATGCTCTAGCAACCTGTTTCCTGTTGAAATGACACGGAGAACACAGGAACAACAACACATATCATCTAGATATATTGAAGGTGAATAATGCCTTGTAATTCAAGCATGATTTCGATAATTCTCCCTCATTATATTTTATATCACATAATAGAGAAAATGTGCTGCTCTTACTTAACTGGGTGTTACTTGTAGCCAGTATGTATTTACCAAATTACTTGTTTCTGTGGAGCCACATAAAAAACATAGGCCGTATATATAGTGTCAAGTTCGTAAACGTATTTTACAACACCTCCCAGCCTGTATCTAGCTAGGCAGAGGAGAAAAGAAGTACATCGATAGTTCTGGCCTCATACACCTAGTCAACTCTGGACAATGGGCAGCCGCCCGCCCCTGTATGATTCCTTCACAGTGATATCTATTATTTCCCAATGTCTTAATAAAGGAGCTCGAATATGTCATTTAAACCTGCCTTTGAGTTCAAAAGCACTACATACATTTACTAACTCACTCAGTCGTTCACCTTACCATGGTCAAAGTTATTACTTAAGTCCAAATTCCGTTTTTATAAGTCTTCATTTATTTATTCTCTTCTAGATAACACCCCATATTACGTAATACACCTTCTATAAAACAGTTGCTAAGATATTTAACTGGTTTTGCGGTGTTATAAATTACAAGTTTGATTACGAATCGACATCGGTTAGAGAACCATTGGAAAAGCAACATGGAGTACTGGATAGCTGTTTCGTCCTGATTTAGTTCTCTTCATCAGTACGCACTCACCAAGGTTTTGAACCCAGGCCCTTCCAGTTACAAAGAGAGCTTGTAGACCATTCAGCCAGTGGGTCCTGATCCAATGATGTCAGCTCATGACAAAACCTGTAAACAATCAAATCCCTGCAAGGCGACACCTCATAATTAATCTGATGCTCACTAGTAGTGACTGGCTTTATACAGGACAGTTACTAGGAGTTCTAGTAAGAAGTTATAACCAGCGCGGTACACTAAGTCAGTCGCCTATGACGTTGGCTGGCGACTGCAATACATACGTGGCGGATTGGCAGAAATTGGAACTCATGGGCCGTTGGATCAGGTCCCACTGGCTGAATGATATGCAGGGTTATGGGTACGTACTGATGAAGAGTCCCAAACTAGGACTGAAATGTCAATCATCGAACTTGAAATCAATTAAATCCTTACACAACAATACTTACGAATTTTCTTCGTTGTTACATGCTCTTTTGTGTTATACAATTAAAGTTAAATAACAGCTAATGCTGAACTTCGTCAACTTCACGGTTAAATACACTCCTCACCAAAAGAATATCTACCGCCTGAAGACTTACGTATCGCTTTACTACGAAACTAAATTAAATTTCACTAAAATAAAAATTACTTAGGATTGAACTGGCCTATAAATATATGTGAAACAGTCATAGAACATTAACTGGTGGTATTTCCTCCGTGTCAGTTATAATCGCCTCCCTCTAAGCCGTAATTTCACTGAAGAGTCATACAGATACTAACTTATTCACCAAATAAAACACAAATAATAAGAACATATAATACGAAGCTTACAACAGCGCAACTCTATGTATATGAATATCTAAAGATTAATGGCATATTCCCTCCGTCTTCATTTATGGCTGTGAGACCTGGCCATTGAAAGTGGAAGACATGAAACGCCTGGCTAGCTGTTTTTGATCATAGGTGTCTGCATTCTATCTCCAGTGTGAAGTGGTACAATAAGGTGAGCAATATCGAGATTAGGCTTCGCTCGACTGCTATGTAAGGAGGAGAAATCAATAGACGAGACTGTGAAGTTACATCGATTGAGATTGTTAGGACATGTTACTTCTGCCTAGCCATTGCCTTCCACGATGGGCAATCTTAGCTGACATAGGATGGATCAGATTTGAAAAGAGTTAGCTAGTGGTGGTCAAACCAAAACCAACATGAAATCAGTCAGTGAAATCCACAAAAGTTAGTTTAAGCCAGGCAGCCACATAGGGAGGTGTAAACATCCTGAGTTGCTGAAGTCCTCTGGACGGTAAAACCCAATGAAGGCTGGAGACAATTGGTGATATGGCTCAAAGTGATCGTTCTCAATGGCTGGCGCACATGCACTCACTCTTTGTCACTTGTAATATCCAATAAAACTGTATGGTTCTTCGATTTTACTATTCTTTTTGCCGCAAATCTCTGTTTTGAATCTCTTTTTACTCTCTTCTCTTGCTTTGTTGGCTAAGTGAAGTGTGGCAACTCGAACTGGTGCACATCAGTGCAAAGTTCTACGTTGAGACCAGCCAGTCAGTCAGTCGAAGATTAATAGTATCCCATACATCCCCTTTTTTCAAACCTTTGTGTTCCGTGTGGAACATGGGAGGCCTTCAAACTTGAAGCTTTACGGGTTAGGGTTGCTAGACTCAAGTCCACAACCTCCCCTCCTTACCGAACTTACTCGTGATAAAGTGAGGTTTGGGCGTGCGTTCCGACCGGGAATCGATCCCTGAACCACGTCTGTAGTTATCGGTCATTCATTCTACCACCGAACGACATGAAATTGTTACTTAAGTAGACACACATACTTGAACTGTTGTACTCAAATTAAGGCTCATTCATTATCTTGCATATTTGAATAGATATCACTAGCCAATATGTATAAATTTTTCATGAAAAAAGCAGGGATGGTCAATGTGACGAAGAATAGATGAGATGGCGGGTAATGGGGTTTATTGTACAACTATCCATCCAGAACTGAATAAAAGGTTTAGAAGTAAATTATACTGGTATTGTAGACGCTACAATTTTCAAGATACGACAGTCATGCGATCATACTTCCTTGAAACAAGATTTTTTTAGTATATCGGGAATCTGTGCATCGATGGTACAGCGGTAGAATGCTCGCCGACCACGCCTCACGTAGTTCGGGGTTCAGTCCCCACACGCCACACACGCACTCCTTTACCTCTCTAAACCAGTAATAAGACTGGTAAAGAAGGAAGGTTGGGCATGAGGCTAGTAACTTCATCCTGTAAAAATAATAAACACCATTGCTACTGAAACTCTAATCCTCTATAGCTTGAAGCCACCTATGTTCCACTGGGAACATAAAGGATTAAAAAAATAATTAAGATAATGGGAAAGATGATACAGAAGTCACATTGATGATCATGACAAAAAGTAACAATATTAGTTAATATTCAAATCGAATCAATAAAAATGAATGTTTATACAGAAAGCGGAAAAGGCAACTAGCTGCGTCTTTGCAGTGAACACTACTCACATAAAATAATTTGTATAACTTTTTATAGTGAAATAATATACACACTCAACATCCTAAAGAATGCGGTAAAAAAAGAGCAGAAGTCCATTATCCCTTCACAACCAATCCAATTTTACATTCGAGAAATATGTAGATAAACTACCAACTTATTTCACCTACTTGTCCTCTCTATGTGTATTCCATTAGTTTGATTTCTCCAGTGGAACTAATGACATTTATTGGCCAGACAATTAGGCATCATCGGATTTCTGAACACCATCCAGGACTAGTTCAGCTCATCTTGTACATAGTGAATATTAAGACGGTATTAACAAGGCATTTAAAGTTACTCTGCCGTATTCCAACTAATCTTAATTCTGCCTAACAAGTTCGCCTACTCTACATGTAGTAGCGAAAGCTGTCGGATTCCACCTGAAGACGCCAAACTTACCTGGGTTATTATTCATTGATTGTAATAATCTGACAATTTCCATCTAAATATCACACACTAGCTCGTCGAGTAGGAGTTGAATGGAAAGGCGACGAGTTCGGCGTAGGTCCGAAAGTGACATTAGAGGAGAGAGATCATGTGAACAGGAATTGACAACTTGTAGATAGTCAATCACAGCAGCCAACTAGGAGAGTCAGTAAACGACAAAATACAGTAGAGATGTGCTGCTGTAGCTCTAAGCTCTACTCGGAATCCAACAGACGAAGAACCATCAACATCAGCAAACCCTCCCGCCGCCCCCCTCAATAAGGCGCACAGACAGTCTGTATCATAACAACACGAGTCGACTGTCCCATTAGCATCAAGGTTAAAAAAGATTAGTAGTGATGTTAGTAGGATATTGATACCTGAACCAACAACTAGTTAATGACACGGGCGTGATGAAATATGCTGTTAATCGAACAGAAAAAAAAAACAACCGCTTAAATAACTTACCGAATACAGGAGTATGTATTGTCTTGTAACGTTTCTCTTCATAATCCAATAATTTCACTGAACCTGAATCCAATATGCTTAAATAACGCGCTGTGGTGCGATAAAATGATTGATGCGATGCTGTAATGTACTTATGACGTAACAGCAGGGCTTTGATTAAAGCCTCTGATGCGAAATGCAGATCATCCACGGGTACCTTTTAGAAAATGAATGTTTGTAAGGAAAGAAATCAAGTATATTCAATGAAACTATAGTGCGTAATATGCAAAAACGTTTGACTGATGATAACTGGCATGTTTCTACGCTACTTTGATTGGACACTAGGTGGTAGTATCTAATGGCAGGTGTCTAATCCTTGGTGTTAGGGTGCAGACCGAATGCTATCAAAACTTCATACAATTCTTCCCATTAATAAATTTGAATAAAGAAAAAATCCCCATTTACACATTTAGAAAACAGAAAGATTGAGCGAAGAAATATTTACTTTTCAATTAGATCCTCATCTCTGGCTCTACTCTAATATATATAGAATTTTTTATGACAATACACAACAGTTTACCAAACATGGCAAGGGAAGAAAATGGCACACTAAGAAGGAATGTGTATAGAAAACCTACAACAACAGGTCAGTACACTCATTTTTTGAGTTTTGTACCTTTGAAATATAAACGTAACCTGGTAAAGTGTTTGGTTCATAGAGCTAAGTTAATATGTTCAGACGACTGCCTCTATGAGGAGCTTAAGATTTTTAGAGAATTACTTAGAAAAAATGGTTATCCAGATAAATTTATCGAGAAAAATATGAATTCAGCACCAAGGAGAGTCAGTATGGCTACAGTTTCAAAAAAACCAATGTTCATAAAATTGCAGTGCCTCGGAGACAACATCAGTGAAATAATAACACAGCGCCTGAAGAATGCAGTTAAAAGAGCTTGCTATGCAGCAGAGGTACGTTGTCTCTTCACAACCACCCCTATTGTACCTTCGAGAAATAAGGATAAACTACCTAAATTTGCCTCTTCTATGTGTATCTACCAAGTTTGACTGCTGCTGCGGAGCCAGCTACATTGGGCGTACAATTAGGCAGGTTCATCGTCGTATTTTCGAACATCATCCAGCATGGTTAAGCAAGGTACAAACAAGATCTATTCGTAGTTTCATTTTAGCACACCTTGTTGATACTGAGCATAAGGTTGATGTGAATACTGCATTTAAAATTATTTATCGCATTCCGACTAATCTTAATTTTGCTCTACGAGATCGTCTTCTACAGACAGCTGAAGCAATCGGAATCTACCTCAAGAAGCCAAGCCTATGTGTTCATAAGAAATTTGTATAACCACTTTCCTTACCTTGGCCATCGTTACATGACTGTATAAACCGAACTACTTCGCCCCTCTCCCACTAAACTTTTGGAAACTATAAAAATTATAATTGTCCAAATTATTTCATTTTATTTTTATTTATTTTGACCACTTCATCTTTATTAACGTGTTATCCTTGTAAAATTAATTTATTCTAACCATTTCTACCTTTTAAATGTGTATTGATTTTCTTCGTTAATTATCAACCCATTGACATTTTGACACTGACTAATTATTGTTAACAAACATTTCGCCACTTGATTGGTAAACTGTTGTGTATTGTAATAAAAGAGCTATACAGAATATATTAGAGTAGAGCCAGAGATGAGGATCTAATTGAATCTTCGCTCAATCTTTCTAAATTTGAATAAAGCAAGAACGACAAATGTACCAGGATAATCTGAGTACATGCTTTTATTCATTTTATTCCGTACATTCTTCTCAACTGGTTACACCCTGAACAATACCAAAATTATAAATTAAATTAAAGATGTGAACATCCTTTTTTACAATGGTAGTGAGTAATTGATTGGAACTGAGAGTAACATTGGTCAGAAATAATGTAAGTTGTTGAATAATAATTAAGAGTGAAAAGGATCGACTATTTATAGAAGAATTGCATGACTAAGCTTGGAAACAAAAGGACAGAGTTGTTCAACAATTCTATTGTGGGTAGAAATAAAGTTTAACTAGAAACAGCAGAGAAAGTAACGGGTTATGTAACCACAGAAAAACACGCTTTTATAAAATAAACAAAAAGACGAGTAAGATGAGTCATGTTTAGCCGAAAAATTCAGGTTTTCTAAACAGGACAGAAGATGACGCAGTGAAATTTCTGCGCTTTGTTATCACCAATGCAGTGCAAGATTCTCCACTGTCTCTTTCTGCGTGTATAGATTTGGTTTTAGCCGTTTGATTGCGAATGTCTCAGCAAAACGAAGCAGGCTAGGTTTCTTTTGTCTGTTGATTATTTTGAACGACTTTAGGTTGTCCACAACATGGCCAGTGTTTAGTAGATGGCAAGTTCGCAATTTAACCACCATACTAAGTATATTATTATTATTGTTTCCTTTAATTCCTAGAGGAACATAGGGCTTCAGCAGTGCGTCTCCATTGCGTTCGGTTCTCTGCTCGAGTCTTCACTTGACTCCAAGTCTGTCCACACGCTTTCATCTCCTCTTCACATGACCAACTCGTCACTTCCCTTTCGGGTTCCACTCGAGCAATGGCCTACCGTGTGATGTCACTTGATGGTTTCCTCAGAGTTTGGCCAATCCATCTCCATTTCTTCCTGCCAATTTCTTTCACAATCGGTTCCTGCTGTGTTGGTTCGCTCCCAGAGATCTCTGTTGCTGATCTTTTCTGGCCAACCATCTGATCTTGAGTGGTATTGAGCGAAGACAGCTGTTAATGAAGGTCTGTAGTTTGTTTGAGATGCTCTTTATGATGCGCAGTGCAAGTCTCTGATCCGTATGGTAAGTAGCACTGACTTCAAATTAGAGTTGAAAATCTGGATCTTACTTTTGATGCTGAGTGCTGTTGACCTCCACACAGACTTGAGAGTAGTGAGAGCTTGCTTTTCCGATTCTTGCTTTGATATCCTCGTCAGTTCCGTCTGCCTGTAGTTGAAACGATGCGTCCCAGGTAGGTAGGTAGGTGAAGGAGGTTGTTTCTTTCAGGTTCCTTCCATTTATGCTGATTGTTGTCTGTTGTTGTTGTTGTTGCTGTTGGTGGTGTTGGCCAGGAATCTTCATCACCTCTGTTTCCTCTATGTTCACTTGAAGTCATATCTTCTCCGGATGCTTCTTCTGCCAACTTGTTGCTTTTCGCTTGCATATCTTCGAGCTTGTGGGAAATCAGACATTTATCACCGGTGACTCGACATTTTGGCACAGTCTTAACTGTTGTTATTACATAGTTGGGGGCAATCGATAACAAGTCTAGGACTAGGCGTATGACACTACTTACCTACTGACTAGTGTTCAATCAAAGTATCCAATACAGTACAGTCATACAGGAGGTCAATCGCGGGTTCGAATAGCTCAGTAATAACGTCTCTGACTGCAGTACTACGTGACACGAGTTCGAACCTTAGAATGGATATAAGTTCCTCCAAGATTGTAAATAAGCCCTGCTGACTAGTGAGTGTCAACAAACACGAAACCTATATGCAGCAGCAAGACTTCCTGCTGATTACCTCAAACCATCTCACAACAATATTGCTAAGTTATTAGAACATACATACGATCCGAAATGAACTAGAATTGGGAAGTTAAATTATCCCCACATAGCTGAATAGTGTAGAAACACGGTGAATGCTGTTCAACAAACAGGTGCATTATTCAATATTTCCAAAGTTTTACTCTGTTAGTATACATCCTATTCATGTAGGAATTACGACCGTATAAAGCAGAGGCTGACGCCCACCCCTAGACCTCACCCAGGAAGGTTGGGAGTGAAACTCCATAAGATTAGACGCTTCAAACCCTATATATTCCCTTCAGAATGCAAAGGAATGAAGGAAGGAAAAAGATTCCCCATCTTATCAATCTTATTATCCATTCTCCTCTGTACTTTTTTATGCGTATAGCAGTTTCATTACAAACCTCACACCCCCCCGCCTTCCTCTAAATAACTTTTATGTGTGCTTTTTCAAAACTACGGCACATTGAATTGATGCACTCTGTAGTGCAAAGTTTTAAGCTAATATAATTTAACTTTTTCCAGTTCAATTTTTCATAAAAGTTTAGTGTTCTAAGGTACACACACACACATATTTGTGTAAACATTGAAACCTGTAAGCTACAATTTATGATCTGATGCTCCCTAGTGACTGGCCCTATTCAGGTACGTAGTAGTTACCTAGGGTTCAAGTGGGAAGCCGTGACCAGTAGGTTACAGCAGGTCGAAGATGAGGACAGTTACTCATCGTAGAAGACAATGCGAAGTGGTTGCGCTATATATCATGAATTGGCAGAAGTTAGAATTCATAGGCTGACCATTGAGTCGGGTCCCAGTGGCTTAATGGTCTACGAGCTGGCTCACCTTGTAACCAGAAGGTCCTGGGTTCAAACCTTGGTGGTGGATGCGTGCTGATGAGGAGACCGAAACTAGGCTGAGAGACGGCTGTCCAGGCTTTGCAACGGTTCTCGAACCGATGTCAGCTCATGATGAAACCCTGTAACCATAAAATTTATGAGTTCTAAAAAAACAGCAAATTGAAAGATATTTTTTAACCTCCCGAAAAATTACAAATTTTAAGCCTACCTAAGTAATCAATAATGAAACCTGGTCAGTAAATGCTAAACTGGCAAATACAATAATAACTATATATAGGTGTACATCCACCCCCAAAATTAGCCTGTGAGGAGGAACAAATTCAACTCTCCCGGCTTTTCAAGCCAGTGGGGAATTCTGTTCTCAAACAGTGAGATTAGGTATCGACATTTCATATCAGTAAATATCATTATTACTATTATTATTAGTAGTAGTAGTATTAGTAGTGTGGTGAGTGCTACTTACAATCAGATATAAGTAGTATATCAGTACACGAACTCAGAAACGTAACAACTGGAAAAAGCAGTCGAAGAAGAGATCTATAGGAAGAACGCTACAAACAATGTGCAGAATTCAAAAAGCTATCGAATGTGGTGCTATTCGACCAATGTGCAAATGATGTGTAAATAAAGCCTTAAAGAGCAAGGTATACCAATGGATCTCAAACTATAGGACGAAACAGCCACACGTCCAGTACTACCTATTTGGTCTTCAATGGTTCCCAAACTTGGAATAAATTAAACCCCTACAAACTAACCCTTCAAAATTAATTCGA